AATCCCACAACCAAAAAAAAAAAAAACAAAATCCCACAACCAAAAAAGAAAAAAATCCCACAACAAAAGTCCCTGAGCCTTAGTCTTATTTTTAGTAAATGAATTCTCAGGACAGGAAAACGTTACTTAGAAATTTTAAGTAACATTTCAAACATAAAACCAAACCCAAAATATCTGAGGTTAGAATGACTAAAACAAAACAAAACAAAAAACCCCACCCAGTTCATTTTTATTTCGTCAAGCGTAACTTTAGTAAATCCAGACCCATCACCGGCTTATTTTGCTTTGCAAGTTATTCATCTCTTCCGGGACAAGACAACTCTTTAACAGTTGTTTCTGATACAGAATTTCAATTCATAACTAAGTAGAAAAGGAGAGCTTGGGAAAGGACGGCTCTGTGAGCTCAGGTACTTACCTGATGTTTGGAGAGTGCGGGTGCCACCGAGGCTGGCTGGGGTGAAGATTGGGGTGATACTGAGGCTAGAAATAAAATACCAAACTCGATTATTAGATGCCCTTTGCTTTCAATGGTCTTCACCGGCTGTGAATGGAGAGGCTCTTACTGAACCCTGGCTGGGGGAGCGCACGTTTCCCAGGCTATCACGTTTCCCCCGTGACAAAGGCTGGGGGCTGCCCTCCAAGAAGAAAGCGGAAGGCATCTGCCTTGAAAGGGTGCCCTAGGGCGCCCAGGCAAGGCAATATTCATCTCTCCCAAGGGAACCCACGGAAGGGGCCAGAGAGACGGAGAGAATGACGGTTAATTTATTCTTTAGAAACAATTTCTGTCGTTGCTGAAAATGACAACAACTGTGTGTAAACAGTTACATCTGCCAGCAAACAAGGACTGGACAGAGGACGCCAAGGCAGCAGGACTCTGGGCGAACTCTTTCTCTCTTGTTAAAAAAAATTTTTCTAAAATGTGATCCAAAACAAAACACACCCCCCACACCCCCCACACCCCCGCCCGGCCCCGGAAACAAACAAACAAAACCCCAAACCATCCAGGGCACCATTATCCTGATAAAACAGAAGGAAAGAAGTAGTCTGCCCATTTTAACATGAGAAAATGGATCCAGACTGATGACTCACAAAACGGCCCGGGGTGAAGATATAAGGCTGGCCTGGGTGGGTGGCAGGCTGCCTGCCAGTCCACTTCTGGCCTGCAGAGGGCAGCGGTCCCAGACTGTGTCAGAAGCCCTGGGGCTTTTCAAGGCTAAATTTTCTATGGGGCAAATTAGGTTCTCCTGACATTTAAGTCACCACAGGCTTGCCACCATTATTCTTTTAATTATTTCTTCCCCTTCTTCTTCTTCCCTGCTGTTCTGGTTAAGAAGCAAAAGTCCTCTATTATGAAAAATTCTCAGCAATTCTGTTCATTCCATTTTCATGGACCTGAGATGCCCTCACTGACTCTTCTGTATTCCAGTGGCCCCTCTCCTTCAAGGATGCCTGTCGGCAATTCCGCAGCCCCCAGAGGACATCCTACTGGAAAGAGGAACCTGGAGAAAACATTTCAGTGGCAGAATCTGAAAGCTGACTAGGGCTTTAGAATCTCCTGGAAATAGTCGCTTCATATTTCTCTCTCTTAGGGGATACAGAAACCCAGAGGTGATAGATGATTTGCCCAAAGCTGAACCGTTTCAGGCGTTTTGGCCATACAGCCAAGGCCCCAAAAGAGGCTCTACCAACTGGCTCTTGAACAAAAGAGAGTAACCTGGAATAGAAGTTGACCTTCTATTCTATATACCTTGTCTTCAAACACAACCAAATCAGATGCATTGGAGAGAGGTGGGCACCTTATCCATAGAGACTTGGAAGGAGGATATTCCAGAACCTTCCTTGGTCTCCTTTGGTAATTTATACACCCTCGAAAGCTGTCAAGGAGTATTTTTTAATGTTACCCCACATGGTTCTCAACCAGGACTGTTACATCTCCCTGGGGACAACTGGAAATGAGTATGTGCAGTTTTGCTAGTCACAATGACTGGAGGGTTACCTGTAACTCTTGGGCAGAGAAGAGGGAAGTTAAACCTCCTGTAACTCTAAGGACAGTCGCAAGCAATGAAGAACTGCCCCTCTCCAAATGCCAATAGTGCTCCCATCAAGGACACAGCAATCCGTCCTTTGCTAAGCTTGCTGAGCTCACAGTAACACCAATGATGCAATACCACCTTCCTGGAAACCTTTCTCAGCGCTCAGATGCTTACCGGGCCACCTATCAGGATGTTCTCTTCCTGGTCAATTTACTCCCATCATGGCACCTCTAAAGGCTGGCAAGGAGCAGAGGGCCAGTGGTTGCCAAAGATGTTAAGAGAAGAACAACATCCAGGTGACAGTTGTCATGGATTTGATTTCAACGAACAATCGCCTCGACGTTCCCTCTACCTGCAAGCCTGCCGGGGCAAGGGCAGCACTGAGCTGGGAAAGCTTTGCTTTGTTTATTTTTTTTTTTTTTCTCCCCTTCAAGCACTAATCACCCATCAACAACATTCTAGCCACTCACACCTGAAAGTCCGACCAAAAAAAAAAAAAAAAAACTCTGACTAAGAAGATTCAAGAACCCAAAGGCAGCAGCAAGGAGATCAGGAAAGCTGGCCTTTCCCCTTCCAGGTGCAAAGCACTTTTTACACTCATTCCCTACAACTCGGAAGTCACGTCCAGGCTCTGCGCATTGGGAATAAGATTTCATGTACAGAAGACAATATCACAAAATTCTTCGGAAACATAATTTGGAGGTCTCATAGAGATAATGTACACTGGGATCCCTGCCCCCAACTAAGGAGTTAATATCTACAGTAATGAGACTGATTAGATCCAGAAAGAGACGGATTAGAATAAGGCTCCAAAGTGAACTCATCATGGAGTAGTTTTATTGTGACATTCAAAACCAGACTGGCGATAGGGCAGAGAAACTCAGGGGAGGAGTGTCCCTTGGACATTCACACCTACCCAGGACAAGAAAGTTGGCCACCATGTTAGGGGGTCATCAGACATGGGTGCTGCCTCTCAGCACATGATAACCTGGGAAGCCAGGGACACATCATTAGCTCAGGGCCCCCACCTGGCCGCTCATCAGAACCACCTTAGAGAGGCACCACAGCTTGCCAATACCCAGATCCCACCCACCCTAGAGTTTCTGATTCAACCAGTCCAGGCTGAGGCCCAAGCACCAATTATTTTTTTAAAGCTTGACAGATGGTTCTAACATGCAGCGGGGCTGAGAACCACTGGTGCTGGTGATTTCTAATCAAGGGGCTGAGAGAAGGCTTTGTGGAGGTGACAGCTTCCCAGCAGACAAGTGTGGGCCAAGGAACAGTGGGAAAAAATTACGGGGCAACAGTGATGTGATTCTCCCTAAAGATGCTACCAGAAAACTACTAGAGCTAATCAATGAATTTGGTAAAGTAGCAGGATACAAAATTAATGCACAGAAATCTCTTGCATTCCTATATACCTAATGATGAAAAATGTGAAAGAGAAATTAAGGAAACACTCCCATTTACCACTGCAACAAAAAGAATAAAATACCTAGGAATAAACCTACCTAAGGAGACAAAAGACCTGTATGCAGAAAACTATAAGACACTGATGAAAGAAATTAAAGATGATACCAACAGATGGAGAGATATACCATGTTCTTGGGTTGGAAGAATCAACATTGTGAAAATGACTATACTACCCAAAGCAATCTACAGATTCAGTGCGATCCCTATCAAAGTACCAGTGGCATTTTTCACAGAACTAGAACAAAAATTTTCACAATTTGTATGGAAACACAAAAGACCCCGAATAGCCAAAGCAATCCTGAGAGAGAAAAACAGAGCTGGAGGAAATCAGGCTCCCTGACTTCAGACTATACTACAAAGCTACAGTAATCAAGACAGTATGGTATTGGCACAAAACAGAAATATAGATCAATGGAACAGGATAGAAAGCCCAGAGATAAACCCACGTACATATGGTCACCTTATTTTTGATAAAGGAGGCAAGAGTACACAGTGGAGAAAAGACAGCCTCTTCAATAAGTGGTGCTGGGAAAACTGGACAGCTACATGTAAAAGAATGAAAACTCCCTAACACCCTACACAAAAATAAAATCAAAATGGATTAAAGACCTAAATGTAAGGCCAGACACTATCAAACTCGTAGAGGAAAACATAGGCAGAACACTCTATGACATAAATCACAGCAAGATCCTTTTTGACCCACCTCCCAGAGAAATGGAAATAAAAACAAAAATAAACAAATGGGACCTAATGAAACTTCAAAGCTTTTGCACAGCAAAGGAAACCATAAACAAGACAAAAAGACAACCCTCAGAATGGGAGAAAATATTTGCAAATGAAGCAACTGACAAAGGATTAATCTCCAAAATATGCAAGCAGCTCATGCAGCTCAATATCAAAAAGAACAAACAACCCAATCCAAAAATAGGCAGAAGACCTAAATAGACATTTCTGCAAAGAAGATATACAGATTGCCAACAAACACAAGAAAGGATGCTCAACATCATTAATCATTAGAGAAATGCAAATCAAAACTACAATGAGGTATCATCTCACACCGGTCAGAATGGCCATCATCAAAAAATCTACAAACAATAAATGCTGGAGAGGGTGTGGAGAAAAGGGAACCCTCCTACACTGTTGGTGGGAATGTAAATTGATACAGCCACTACGGAGAATGATATGGAGGTTCCTTAAACAACTAAAAATAGAACTACCATACGACCCAGCAATCCCACTACTGGGCATACACTCTGAGAAAACCATAATTCAAAAAGAGTCATAGGGCTTCCCTGGTGGCGCAGTGGTTGGGAGTCCGCCTGCCGATGCAGGGGACACGGGTTCATGCCCCGGTCCGGGAAGATCCCACATGCCGTGGAGCGGCTAGGCCCATGAGCCATGGCCGCTGGGCCTGCACGTCCGGAGCCTGTGCTCAGCAATGGGAGAGGCCACAACAGTGAGAGACCCGCGTACCGCAAAAAAAAAAAAAAAAGAGTCACGTACCACAACGTTCATTGCAGCTCTATTTACAATAGCCAGGACATGGAAGCAACCTAAGTCTCCATCAACAGATGGATGGATAAAGAAGATGTGGCACATATATACAATGGAATATTACTCAGCCATAGAAAGAAACGAAATTGAGTTATTTGTAGTGAGGTGGATGGACCTAGAGTCTGTCATACAGAGTGAAGTAAGTCAGAAAGAGAAAAACAAATACCATATGCTAACACATATATACGGAATCTAAAAAAAATGGTCATGAAGAACCTAGGGGCAAGACGGGAATAAAGACACAGACCTACTAGAGAATGGACTTGAGGATACGGGGAGGGGGAAGGGTAAGCTGGGACAAACTGAGAAAGTGGCATGGACATATATACAGTACCAAACGTAAAACAGATAGCTAGTGGGAAGCAGCCGCATAGCACAGGGAGATCAGCTCAGTGCTTTGTGACCACCTAGAGGGGTGGGATAGGGAAGGTGGGAGGGAGACGCAAGAGGGAGGGGATATGGGGATACGTGTATACCTATAGCTGATTCACTTTGTTATACAGCAGAAACTAACACAGCAATGTAAAGCAATTAAACTCCAATAAAGATGTTTTTAAAAAAATGATGTGATTCTCTAAGAACTGAACACATGATGTATGCTAAGGAGCAGGGACAATAAACGTAGAAAAGTTAAGCTGGACCCAGGTTACAGAAGGCTGCGAACAGCCAGCGAGAGCTACCCACAGCAGGGGCTGGTGGGCAGGCAGGGGGTTCGGGCCTTGATGGTCATCCTGTGAAAGAGCAGGACACCAGCCATGGAAACCCACCTCCACTCCTTCTGCAGCCAACAGGCCTTAGCACAGTGCTTTACAAAGCAGGTTCTAGAAACCACTATTCCACTGATGGAAATGAACACACCACCAACAGAAGTGGTGGGGGAACCAGCTTTTCTTATGGTGGGAAGGTTGTCCAACAGTCAAATGATTTGCGGAAACACTGGATTTAAAAAAATAAAACATGTGTCTTCCTTGAAGGATTTTTCAGCACTTTTGGCATCCCAGCGGGCACCATAAGATCCAAGAAGGGAATGAAGGACGCAGCATTTCCCAAACATGTGACCAAGACATCCTTCTCCTGGGGGCACACCTCCAGGGACTCATGTTCCCTGGGCCTAGAACACACTTGGACAAAAAATGGCCTCACTTGAGTGCCCCCGAGAGGCTGTGTTTGACCACCCAGAAACTTAGAACATGTATCCCTGCTGCTTGCCAGTGTACAAGGTTAAGAAAAACAGGCAGCTCAGATGACCAAGAGGAAGCAGGGGTCAGGGGAGAAGGCTCTCCTCTTACTGTTTTCTCAAAAAAACATGAACTGCTGTTATTTCTTCCAAACCTGATTATAAGTGCAATGACTGCTCAGTGTGGAAAATTTAGACACTTTAAGAAGTATGACATGAAAACTTTTAAAAGCAATAGCTCACCTGGTAATTATGGACTTCAGGATTTGTTTTAGAGCTAAAAAAAAAAGAAAAGAAAAATTGTAAAACAGGTTGTAAAGCGGCATTATTACTGATTTATTTAATAGTTGTAAACTAATCCTAGGTGCTAGCTACTCTGTTAGCAACTTTGACAAATACTATTTCTTTTTGGTTACTAGCAACTTAAATGAACATATAACTGGGGAAACCAAACAGCAGCCCTTTAGAGTTCACAAATAGAAACATGTAGGTAATATTCCAGACCCGTGCTTATAATGTTATATTTTGGTGGCAAAAAGGAGGTCCTTTCAGTTGGGCAAACTAAATAATTTTAGCTCCCATTCCAGGCCTGCCCTGGCATTGCTGGGTGGCCCATGGTACCGGGCAGCTCCAGTGATGCCCAGGGCTTTCTCCAGCTCAAGGGAGGGCCACCAGCCACTTCTGAGCATACACCACTGTGGGTCCCACCGCTCTCAACAATGCTGCCATGACGTGGCCACCACTCTGGAATGTTTATTCCACATAAGGCTCTGTACTGGGAACTTCACATCTGTTATTATTTAATCCACACAACAAGGCTATGAGGTCAATAAATGTTACCACCTCATTTTATAGATAAAGGAACGGTTGCCTAACAGAGAAGTTAGGACACTCGCTAGCTAGTCCATGGCTGCACCGTGACCGGAATTGACATTTGCAAAACCCCTAGGCCAGTATCCTTTCCGCCAAGCCACGCTGGCTCTCTGAGAACCTGCAGAAAGGTTCCAGGCTCCTCATGCATGATCCTATTTTGATGGAATCTGAAGTATAACTACTCTGGTCAAAAGTATGGGTGGAGATGGTTGGCGCAAAACACAATGTATTTAATATGCAAGCTCGGCATCTGCCAGAAAGACCACAGACCAACCCAGCACCATCATCGGGCTCGGCTGCTAGGGTGGCGTGTTCAAAATCAAGGTTTACTGCTCCTCCAGAAATGAGAGGAAAACATTTCATGGTTATGAGCCTTGCTTAGGGTCTAAATAACCCTGTGTTCCAGTGTTCTTAGAGGGCCAGTGCACAGAGCCAGGTTCTGGGCCAGATTCACCCCTGGCTGCATTTCACCAGGAGGGCTAAGTGTTCTGCAAGGTGCTATTTTCCTGGCATCACCTCTGCGCCCAGAGCACAGTTTCGTCCCCGGCTCCCATAGAAACCTTCCCCACCCCCAGGACCCCACAGGCTATGAAGAGCAACTGAACAGCTGCGAACAGTGGTTATTAGCTCATTTGTTCCTAAAGGGTATATTTACTGGGTGGTTTTTTGTGTGTGTGGTGGAGGTTTGTTGTTTTAGTTTATTTTGGTTCTCAATATATATAATCTCTCCTAGACGCTAAGAGGAAAATGTAATTTTATTAGGGGAAAACAAACAAGCAAAACAATCACTTCCTTAGAGTGCAAAGGAAAGAAACGTTAACTCACAAGCCCCTGAGAATTAAAAACAAGACATGCTGACAGGCATACTTTCAGCAACCCAGACGGAAGAGCCAGACATCTGACGCCCAGCGAATGGCACTGCAAGCAGCATCTGCCATCAGAGGGCCAGGCTGAGCTTCCAGCCGTGATACAACGGCCAGCTACGTTCTCCAGAACCTCGGGGTCCTTGGAGGTGTCCTGGGGCTGCCTGTGGGATGCGGGGGGTGGGTGAGCAGCAGGCGCCAGCCCTGCCCTCCCTGCTCGGTGTCACCCAGAGCAGTCCCGCTTTGGTCTGTTCTCTGTACTGGGCTTCCATGGCAGGTTTCTCCTAGTGGGCCAAAATCAAAAGCTACAAAATTTCGAAAAACACTTGATCTAGCCCGACCTCTTTGTTTTCAGATGAGAAAAAGGCCGCCCCAGAGCTGAGTTAAGAGAAACGCCAGGGCTGGGCGGGAGGCCTCCTGATGCCTCATCTCTAACCCACTCCTCCACACGCCGCACTCTACCAACTGCCCAGGGCGTACAGCGCACCAAGACAGGCTGACCTCAAAGACCACCCTCCCCTGTAGCCTGAGACCTGTGCCTGGGATGACCAGAGACTAACCAGATGGGGCTACCAGTGGCTGGAGCTTGGACACAAGGGCCGGAACAATTACATAGTCTGGGATTCTCTAGCATGACAGCTGTCCACTGAGGTCGAAACTCACATAAGAAAACAACCGTTTCAGGGAGAGAAAGAGAAGTACACACCAGGTGGGACAGTGTCCTCTTGGGCAGCACACGAGACTCACCTGGGAGCTTTAAAACCACAGATGCCCAGGTCCTCACCCAGAGACTGATTCGATTAGCCTGGGGTGTGGCCTGGCTGAGGGTGTCAAAGCTCAACAGGTGATTCCAATGTCCAGGAAAGATCAAGGCCACCTGTGCTGGAGAAGGGGGTGGCCAACCACGCCCCATGGGCCGAACCTGGCCCACCTGCTTTTGTGAGTAAAGTTTAATCAGAACACGCCAGGAGGCGTTCATTTACATACTGTCTATGCTGCTTTCATGCTCCGGGGGGCAGAGTGGAATGGTCCTGACAGAGACAGCAGAGCCTGCGATGTCTAAAATATTTACGACCAGGCACTTTACAGAAAAAGTTTGTTGACACCGGTGCTAGAGTTTCAGTCTTGTGACAAGTTCTCTTCCTACAGGAATTTCACTGGGCGTCGATCAAGGTCTTCTACGTTGTATGACATGAAACCCGCATGTCACTGAGCGGATCCAGTTTTTGTTCTCGGGGAGCTTTTGCTCAAGAGCACGGCCTTTCTTTCCCATCACTGCCTGCAGTGCCGTTAGCACACTGTGCCACACACATTCCTATCACCTTTATCACCCACTGTTACAATACACAAAGCACAAAGCCACTCAAACAAAGCATCTGTGTTTTCCAAAAAAACAAACTGTCTTGGAACATTCTACTGTGTACTTATTGAAAGCCAGGCGGACGGTATAGCCAGGCAGCAGAAAAAGGGGGTGGAGAGGAAACCATCAGGTGCTTCACTCTGTGATTTAACTGTATTAAGGAAAAAGTCAACATTGCAAACAAATACAGTAATTCGAGAGCAGAGCCATACCCGGACTCTGGGGGCGCTTACCAGAACTGAGCTGCTATCATCGGGTTGCTTGCTTTAAGGGAAAAACAGAAAAGTATGACACCTTAGAGAGCTTTACCACTTTTTACCATTTTTACCACTTGTTACCAATGCTCAGGGAAGAGGTTCCTGTGATCTCAGAGCAGTCCCAACCCCAGGAGGCAGAATCTTCATCTTGGCTACCTCTCCTTTCTGGAGGAAAAGTAAATCACCTCCCGCTGTGCCCCACCCTCCAATTCACTCAGAACATGCTCACTGAGCTAGTTCCCAGGGCCAGGAGTCCTAGGAGGCAGAGACAGACAGTCCCTGCTCTCAAGGAGCTCACAGTCTTGACACAGACAGAGACAGAGGCGTGAAAGATCGAAGACAGGCTGAAATACAAGCAGTAACCTGTGCAGGGGAGCTCGGGGCAGACACCTCTGACTGGGTTCGGGGTGTGAGTCTGCGGAAGGGGCCATGGACAGAGGTAGAGCTTGTGTACCTAGACACCGTTTCGTTTTTTGAAAAATGGAGCATGGAAAATCATTAATGGTTTCACAAAGATGCTGGAACTCTGGCTGGAGAAAATGTCAGTAAAATAAAGGAGGGAAAGAGGATGAAGACCAGGAAGGGAAGTGGAGGAGAAGCACGGAACCTGGAGTCTGGAAGAGCTCTAAGGTCACCTCGGGGCATCAAGCACCCTCCCCTAGGCAGAAGCCATACCGCGGCGCCTTTCCCTTGGCGCCTGTACACCTCCAAGGACTGGGCGCTCACTCTGTCAAGAGGGGGCACTATCTTTGGACGGCCCCACCAGCAAGTTCTTCCTTCGACCGGGGTGTTTCTGGGCAACTTTGACCCAAATGGCTACGTGCATAAGCATAATAATGCTCACCAGGGAGGTGAACACAGCCCTTGGGACAGAGAGCTTTCTCATCCCCCCACACCCCGGCCCCGCCCCATCACTCATCACTCCCAGTTCCTGCAACCAATCAGCCTTCACGGACCTGTCACCCTCCCTGGACCCAGCCCCACCCTCTCAACCTCTGGTCTTTCTTGAAAGTGAGGCCACATTCCTTGGGCTCTGGGCAATTTTTTCCCCACGAAAGCAGCCAAGAATGGCTTTGGAGAGTTTCTGGCTGCCACGCTATTGTACCGTTGGTTCAAAAAGGAAGGAAACAGTGGGGAACACAAGGTTAAAGATTCTAGATGGGAAAGCACAGGTGCCAGGTCCCACAAAGGCCCACTAAGTCCTGAGTTATACAAGAAAAACATATGAAATGGCCAGTGCAATGATATATGGGAGGGAACAAGAGTGGGGTGGGGAGGTGCAGAGGTCCTGCTATAAAAGAACAAGATAGTCCTGAATGGAGGAGCAATCAAGTGTGGACAAAGGAGAGCTAGGAGATGGGATCTGGAGGCCGGGTTTAAACAGAAACGAGCCCGGCTTGCTCATCTGCTGACTGAACCGGTAACTGGATACCAGGCCTCATGCAGGTGTGAGGCCACAGTAGTAAATGACAGACGAAGCTCGGGGAGCTCGGGAAAGGGGTGGGGTGGGGAGGGCAAGCATCCTGGGGCCTGGCTAAATTCAAGGGCACGGTGTGCTTGGATTGACTCTGGGCCCCGAGTCCAGTCTTTAATTAGTTCTGGTTCTGCTCTTAAGTGGTCAGAATTCTGGTTAGCTCAAGACTGATGTCCCCAGTTGAAACTGGAAGATGGAGGGGAGAAGGGACTGTTCTTCCCTTCGAGACATGTCATCATCTTCCACGGGCAAGAAACATGTTTACCTATGATATCCCTAAGGTCCCAGGCCCAACAGAAGCAAAGAGGTACCAGAAAAGAAATATGGAAAAGGGGGAGAAGGAAATGAACACATCCAATGGGAAAGACTAAAGACAGCTGGATGGTGAGAGTAGCCTGATTCCCACCAAGAGAAGCCCACTGGGGTTTTGTCAAAAGCTTCAGAATGACAGAGAACGGCAGACAGTTCCTTCACAAACCGCTTCGCCAAACTCCTTGGGGCTTATTAACCAACTTAACCGTGATGTAAAATTCCAAGACAGAACGAAAAGCACACCACCTTTGAATGTCGAATGTCTCCGGGACGGATAGCGTTTACTAGGCTTCCTCTCGAAGGTGCTGGTTCTCCGTAACCTGGCGCCATGTGTAGCCTGGTATTCCGTCCGGCCACTGGAAAGCAAACGTTTCACTGCATGCTACCAATATCAGAATGTCAGTACATTATACGTATTTGGAAGTGAACTTTTATTTCCAAGAGCTCCAATGTAAATTTCAACTTATCTCAAACTCGTTTGGCAAAGACACACACTAAATTTAGCCTTCCGCTTGAAAATAAAATCACTGTTGCCAAATCCAGGCTGTATTATATTTCCGCCAAAGGACAAAACCTGCAATTTAGGTACCAGCCACTTGACTGCACAAAGCAAGCAGGTCTGAGTACTTGGAATATTTGACCTAAGAACACTGATTCACACATAAAATACCTTTCCTAAAACGTATTAGGTAGGCATTTAACTCTTTTAAAAGGCTGTTATCAATGACCACTTAACTAAACCTTGGCTTTCCCTGCTATGCCAAGAAAAACACTGCTGCTTTCACCAAGGCTCTCCATCAACCCAACGTCCAGCTACAGCTTCCAGGAGGCAATGCTGTCTTTGTCTGATCTATCACTGCCTCATTCCAGCCACCCTCAGCTTATGATTTATCACATGGAAGGAGCCACTTGCCACCTGCTTTGACTGCCTCCAAGGGGCAAACTCATCTCCAAACTCCCTTCCTTCTCACGCTGGGCTGGACCAAGTCCCACGGGAAACCCTGCCTGGGCAACCTCAACAGTGCGGTCCTGCTCACTTGGAGCACAGCAGACGTCAGCACACGGTGCAACGTCTCTGCCAGGCTTCGCAGTTATGACATCTTCCTTCCGTCCTTCCTTCGCAGACCCATGAGTCGATTCTTTCTCAGAAAGGACTTGGTCCCCCCCACTCCCCTCTGCAGCATTTAAAAATACATTCAAACCAAGCGATTCTTTAAACACAAGTGCACAGACATTTCCGTGCACAGCAGAAAAATGTGAAATGAACACATCGTTTGGCACCTTAAACAGAGTTCAAGGACGTGCCATGTGTGAGAAGAGGTTATGAAACCATGTGAAGTTTTAGATCTTGTAACAGCAATTCTCAGATCTGTAAACACGCCTCAGGAATCGACCCTGGGAGTGCATTTTAAATGCACATCCCCAGGCCTTGTTCATACAGCCACACGTGAGCCCCCATAGATTCTGATTACAAAGGCCTGAGATGTAGGTCCTAAATCCGCATTTTAAAAAAACACCCAGGGAGGTCTCGTGCACTTTGAGAGACATGGTCTTAGAAACGTAAGTAGAAATATATCGGAATAAACCTCTCTTTCTTCAGGGTCTTTTCAGATTCAAATATTCCTGAGCCCAGCCTGGGTCACTCACACACACAGTGACATCCGCTCTCATTCTTAATTGTCACCAAATTTCTTGATGTTGGCGTGTGACAGGCGATAGAGTAGTGGTTGAAATATAAGACATAAGACCCAGACAGCCTGGGGTTGAATCTCAGCTCTACCACTGACTGGCTGTGACTTTGGACAGATTATATACCCGCCCCCGGACCTAGTTCCCTTATTTGTACAATGGGTATAATCTGAGGGCCCATCTCATTAAGGCCATGGGGAGGATGACGAGTTGGTACATGAAAAGCCCTAGGGCTGTGTGGTCGACAGAGCTTTCCAAAACGACGCTCACGTTCTACATCGGCACGGCCCAAGGTGGCAGCCCCCCATCTCACTTGTACCGGGCACCTGAAGCGTGGTTAGTCAGACCAAGGAGCCACATTTTTAAATGTACTGAACATGAATTAATTTAGATAGCCACATGTAGCTCGCACCTACTGTATGAGACAGCACAGTTCCAGCTAAATGTCAGCTGTTAATAATTTTGTGATTATCAGCTTCATCTTATCCGTGAGGATGCGGAGGCTAGAAGAGCTCCGGCGACTCCACGAAAGGTCAGATGCTAAGAAAGAAGCAGGGGCAGGACGTCCAACCCAAGCCTCCAGATGCAGGTCCACTGCTCCTTTCACCAAAACATCACGGCTCCCCTCCTTCAAGACACGTGACCGTGTTGTAAAGACGGTGCCTACCTGAACCTGAAGCGAGAGCCCAGTCGGATAAAGTCCGATCTGTTGGACTTGCTGTTTCCCGGCGTCCGCAGCCGGAAGAAGGCATGGTGCTCCACGGCGCACTTCCACAGATGCTTGCAGGTCCGGGCGCTGTCCAGGCGGAACACGAACGTGTGCTCCTGTTCCCGGCCCTCGGAGGTGAAGCACGGGGGTCCCGGTGAGCAGGGATTTGTAACACTGACTCAGGATGACTCACAGCAAGGCGGAGGGACGGAGGCAAGGCTTACCTGGTCATCGTCCTCCACCACCACCAGCGTCAATTTGCTCTTTTTAAAATCCATTTTGGTAATTTTGGGCCTGGCCAGAAAGAAAGCATTTTCAAAGCACAGTCTGCAGCAGCGCCGTCTACCCATCACACCGCCGTTTCCTTTCTACCGTTTAAGCTCAGATTTGCTCAAGGAATCACTCATTCACGTTAAGTGTGATTATCCAGAAGCGCCACTGCCATTTGTCAGACACCCACAAATGCAAGAGTACGTGTGTTTTAAAAATGAATCTGGGTGTTGCAAATATCCCTCGATAATCACCCATCACATATAATTCCACCACAAAATAGGAAAAGACATTTTTAATATAGGACAAAACTAAATTACCAAAAGAATAAGCCTATTTTGTTAGCTCCTTCAAAGATTAAAATGCCTGTCGGGGTCAGTCCAAGAGAATATTCACAGCCATCTCTTCCCTACAAATAAACGAAGGCACAGTCGGTAGAGGGTTCTAACAGGTCGTCACAGAGCAGAATGCAAAACAGTTTCCTCACCGCATTACTTAGTTTGCACATGGTTTACACGTTTTTCAGTCACCGGGAAAACCAATTACTTAAACGCACACGGTTCTTACCCTGACAACGTGCATGTCTACCCCATACATTTCCAGCCACTTCGCTTTATTCAGATAGGAGAGTTCCGCCTGGGCAGGGCTCTTTCCCCTTAGAAAAACCAACGAGACACATGTGAACTGCAACGCGTACACCCACACAAGCCTGAAGGGCACGGCCACGTGAAGGGGTGCTTGGGGCAATTAAAGGGATGAGGGCTACCGATTTACATCAACACGACACGACTTCCAAGAACAGACTGTTCACTGAGCGGAAAGAGGACAGAGCAGGGCTTCTAATAGGAACGCTTAGGGAGACGACTCTGTGTGTGTAGATTCGTGCATGCGTGCGCGAAGGAGAAAGGCTGGAAGGATACGCAGCTGGCTGCTCACAGCGGCTTCGTGCAGGAGGGAGCGTGGGTGGGGTGTGACAGGGACTGGGGCAAGACTCTACGCCCGCCCGCCCGTTTCTACGTTGTTGTTTCAATGGGATACGAGAATGTGCTACTGTCACCTTCCATCTGCAAAGGAGCCAGAATGGCTGCGGGACCACGGGAAACCATGCTCGGTTTCTGAGTCAAGAGTGACTGGGCACAGGCAGCGTTTGGGGAAGATGGGCCGGGCGGGAGGAGAGGCGGTGGCCCTGTTATCCAGGCATAAAACTGCTAGACTAGGGTGACTAAGGGAGGAAAGAGGACAAAGCAAGAGAGAAGTGGCAGGGCTGGATTTAGCTGTGGTGACCACGTGTCCTGAAATACAACTCTGTACAACACATGGTCTCAAACATGAGTGTCCCTGTAAGCAACCCCAGGACACATTTCTAAAGGGTTTGCCCTAGCAGTCCAGGCCACGGACACAGCCCCAGGTGTGTGGGACTGGGTGGGCCAAGGCAGCACCCCTCTGCCTTGGTTAGGAGGCCGGGATGGCCATGGCGTCCCTGGCTACGCGACGAGCAAATTGGGACCAGGCCCTGTACTTCAGAGGAAGAAAGAGGAGTATGGCTTGGTTTTTACTGTACATCTCTGGAAAGAGAGATGTCCTGTGGGCCTTTCAAAAACAGGACTGAAGCACGGGAGGGAAAGAAGTGAAGAGCTGGAGCTGCGATTTTATAGTCATCAACAGAGCCACTCTGCCGTGAGATAAAAGAGTCTGACAAATGCTTACAAATGACCAAATGCATACATCAGAATGTTAGATGGTAGCATCAAGGTACCTGCACTCTTTCCATCTCTGGAAGATATCAAATTCCATCGCTTCTGTCTGATTTGGAATGAACCGAAACTCAGACACAAGCTCTGGTGTGTGTTCTGGAAGCTCGCACTCCCCAAGCTCGGCTGCAGGTTTCATAAAAGGGAGAAAACAGGAGACAGTGAATGCTTTCGGTTATTGCAGCACCAGGTCCAAAGGCACTTTGCCTACTGTAAACAGCACAGGTACCCCCTCCTGTATAACCAACTCCCCGCTTTCAGGAGGACTTAACTCCCACTCGGTCCCCACATGTACGTTCAGAGTTCCCATGAATCACTCCAGTGCGCTCCCCACTGGGCCATACACCATCATCTCAGTTATGACTGTCCCTGTCCCGACTATTTCTCTGGCCCAGGGAGGCCCTGATTACATTTCCCCCACAAAATTGTAGTGCCTGAATTTGCAATAAAAGGCAACTGCAGGCAATGGGGACCCACCCAGAAACATCCATGTAACAAGGCTCTCGTCAAGGGTAGGTCTGAACAGCGCTCCAGAGTCTGCAGTGCTGGAGAGGACCAATCAAGAATTCGGTGCAGGCAGAAATCAGGGAGAAAAAATCAGGCAGGAGGGAGAAGGAAGGAGTGAGGAGTGAGGGAGGAGGGGGTGAGAAGGCCCCGGGAGCAACTGCGGCAACTCAGGCAGAAGCTGGGAGGGAGCCGGCTGTGCAGAAAGGAGCAGCGGCCACGCAGGCGATCCCAGCAAAAAGCCCGAAGCCGCCGCTTGGTCCTGGCTCTTGCCCAGTGCCCCTGGGAATGCAGGGCCCGAGGACACAGGGGGCCCATTCCTCCAGGACATGAATGAGAAAGCTCACTCTCTCCACTCCCCCCACCCTGGCAGTGCAGGAGGCAGACCTCAGAAGGAAAAGGAATCCTCCAGGGGTTCCTCTGTACCTTGTTTGCTATGAACTCTAATTACCTCTGATACCTTGCCGCACAAAGTGTGGTCCGCAGACCAGCGGCATGGGCCCGCTCACCATGCACAATCGCAGGCCCCACCCTGGATCTGCTGGAGCAAACCCACCACGTCCCCAGGAGGGGGGTGCACACGTTACTTTGAAAAGCACTGGTTTTCGAATGCGCCAGAATTGCCTGGAGGGCTCGTTCGAACACACGTTGCTGGCCCCCATCCCCGGAGGTTCTAAATCCATAGGTCTGGAATAAGGCCTGAAAACTTGCATTTCTAACAAGTTCCCAGGGGATGCTGACGCAGCCGATGCAGTATGTTCCCAGGGAACACACTCTGAGAATCACTGGTTAACACGACATCCCACCGACCAGCCAGCAAATGACCGAACACCCCCAGTGACAGCAACTCACTATGGACTCAGCAGCCCTTTCCAGCGGCTTCTGAGCCCCAATCCCAGAGCCCACCTTTCAGGAAAGGGACTCCAGTTGGCTCGCAGGAGAAGAGGTTAAAATGTTCCTGTCCACGCAGAGGAAGCGGCAATACCATACTCGGAGGGGTGGTGGGAGGACTGCAGGAGACGGTGTCTGACACAGGGCGGGGACCTAGTGACTGTCCCCTCACCTGACTGCAGCCCCTCATCTGCAGCTCTCAACTGGACGGCACCCCTGATACCACCAGGTGGTCTGGGTCAGGATGTGCAGCTGCTTGGCGCCTTGGGCAAAGTCACAGATGAAGATGGTGACATATTTGCCCAGAAAAGGTGAGGGCTGGGCTCCCAAGGCTGGGGGCCACGACTGACCTCTGACCAAGATGTCACCCTGAAGCTAGGGACCTAGCAAAGCTAGAAGGGCAGTCTGGGAAGAGATCTCCTGGATGTGAACCACACTGCACCCATGGGCCAAAGTGAGCCCTGTGTTTACTGGTGTGCCTGCACAAGACTGGGTTAACTGTGCATCTGGCATCATCAAGCACAGGAGGGAGAAGCCAATGACGAGGTTCCCCCGAGACCAGGCAAAGGGGACACTTTGCTGCCTGCCTTCCAAGAACCTGCCGGCAAGAGGACACTTTGCTCAGTCTTTGAACTCTGCAGCCAGAGTCCCAGCTGTGAAGGGTGTGGGGCGTGGTGGAAACAGCTCAGAGGCAGGAGGGCTTGACTACCAACTTGACCATACACTACCTGTGTGACCTGGGCAAGTCACTTCACTGTCCTGGGTCTCTGATGCCTTAGCCACAAAAGGGAAACTGACAAAGATGAAACAAGATCATGGACACACAACAAATGACTATCCCATTCTTCTCCTCCCTTCTTCTTCTTTGTGCCTGAAATAATTCCCAAAGCAACCATAAAATTAGTTCTCAAAGAGCAGAGCCTCCAAGCAGGGCCACTGCATCACAACTCGTGAGGCATCAATTCAAGGACAACTGCAGCAAGACACGTATTCAAGGCTCAAGCACGGGAAGAAGTACACAAGCTTTCACTGTGCAAACCCACAGAGGCTCTTAGCGATCATAGTCCAAGGCAAACCGGCTTCTTTGCGGCTGAACTAGAAGCATTTACTGATGGGCTGGGGGGAGGAGGGGACACGGAGAGACAATGTGACAAAAACTTCCCCATTTCTGTGTCCACATCTTCAGTTTGTCTTTGTACCTGACATAATGACTGCATCTTAAATTACACTAATGTTGTGGTTCCAACTCAGATAGGTAATTTCTCCAAGAAGGGCTCAAATGACAGCTGGTATTCTTGTCTGCCTCGGCGGCAGGGCAAGGCAAATGGCTCTCCTAGAGCTGGGTGATGCCTTCACCACTTGGGGGCAAGCAGAGTGGTGACCTCTGTGCCTCATCGTCGTCTAATCATTTAGGACGTGTGCCAATGGCCTTAGGAAGAACCTCTCAGGTGGACTGACGGCCCCAGGTCTGACATGGATGCTTTCATCCCATTAACTGCACCCTGCCATCTACTGCTGGGCCACCAAGCCTGACAGTATGACCTCCTGGCAGCTCAGAAACTCTAGGGTGGACGCAACTTGGCAAGCTGGTGAAATACAGATTGGTCAAAGTGGACAGTCCATTTCCAAGTTCCCCAAAGCCATAAGGACCATAAGGACCACTGTATCAGGAAAATATGGATGTGAAGCACTTAGCATTGTATTTAGCACAGACGGTTACCTCCAACACAAGTACCTTCAGACCACATGGGCAGACTGCCCTTCAGCCAAAGTCCATTGTGGGGGGGGGCTCTTCAATTTCATTCTGCACTTACTGAGCACCTATTATATGCCAAGCCCCCACTAGATAATAAGCACTAAAGTGGTAGATGGACCTAGAGTCTGTCATACACAGTGAAGTAAGTCAGAAAGAGAAAAACAAATACAGCATGCTAACGCATATATATGGAATCTAAAAAAAAAAAAATGGTTCTGAAGAACCTAGGGGCAGGACAGGAATAAAGATGCAGACGTAGAGAATGGACTTGAGGACATGGGGCGGGGTTGGGGGTGGAAGGGTAAGCTGGGACGAAGTGAAAGAATAGCATGGACATATATACACTACCAAATGTAAAATGGATAGCTAGTGGGAAGCAGCTGCATCGCACAGGGAGATCAGCTCGGTGCTCTGTGACCACCTAGAGGGGTGGGATAGGGAGGGTGGGAGGGAGATGCAAGAGGGAGGGGATATGGGGATATATGTATACGTATAGCTGATTCACTTTGTTATACAGCAGCAACTAACAAAACAACGTAAAGCAATTATACTCCAATAAAGATGTAAATATATATATATATATAAAAATGAAAAAAAATAAGCAGTAAAGGTGACTAAGGAATGGAAGTATCAGGGAATGGGAGTAACCTGGTCACTAAAAACCTTCTTTATAAGTACAAACATGACAGAAAGAATATATGTACTAAAATTACCAAGTAGAAAATCATACAAAAAAATTTGTGTATGAGTCTGATCAGAACTACATTTTTAAAACTCATAGATAGAAACTCTGCTTGTCTGTGGGTAGGACCGTAGGTTACTTTCTTCCTTCTACTTGTCTGATTGCTGTCCTGATATTCTATAATAAGCCTGTACTGATTTTATAATTTGAAAAGACTTAGATCAACTTTTAAAACTTGGTAAATACAAAAGTCAGAAGCCAAGTCTTACTATGGCACTCAAAAATAGTTAGCAGTTATAAATGAATACATCATAATTCATTATCCCATAGAAGCCCTGATAAACGAGTCCGCAATATATGTCTATCCGACGCGCTGATGAAATTCCTTATGTGCAGTTACACATTAGTATCCTTTTAATTAGTGCTGGCAACTTGAACAAGTGTTTCTTGCACATGTTAAACTAAAAATCCACCAGTGCATCAGACAGATGGAACAGTCAACGTTGAGACACAGGCAACCCTCTTACCGTCCAATTCCCACCCACGTGCTGATGACTCTCCCCTGTCAGTGCTTCCAGCCTGACCTGTCTGGTGGAGCCAGATCTCTACAGACTCAAGAAGCTCCCAGAGGCCCCACTGGCCCCTCTCAGTCAAGAGACCCTACACAGATGTCCCCCCACTGGAGCCCAACTCTTCTTCTAACCATTCACTGTCACCACCTCCCATCCTTGGTAGCAGCCTACGAGTCATCTCTGTCTCCTCTCTCAACACTGAGCCTAATGACCAGGTCCTTCTCCTTGTACCGCTGATGCTACTTTGGGGTGTGTGTTTAACCCCCGGCCTTAGTTTCGTTTTGTTACAGCTACACCTCCTCACTTCACCCCCAGCCCCAGTCTTGGTCTTGCCCCCATCCCTTCTCCCCATCACAGTCACTGTGGCCTTTCTAAAATGCACGTCTGACCAGGCCTGCCTCCCGCTCAAGAGCCATCAAAGACGCCGTGTTGACAGCATGAAGTTCATGCACTTTAAATGGGGTCGAGGTCACCCGCCGCTCCAGGCTTTTGAACTTGGCCCTCTGACACCAATCAACTGCTAGTGCCTCTCCACACTTTTCTACTTTGTGCCTTGGTTCCTCTGTTCATCTCCATCTACCCTTCCCCCGACAGGCCTCCACCTTCCAAGCCTTCTGCAGGGCTCTCTTCCTGAAGGAACCACAGTGTACTCTGTACGTACACACGGAGTATGTGATCCGGCCACGAGGCCCTCATGGGACTGAAAGCTACTTGGGGACGGAGACCAAACCAGAGCACTGTGCCTGGTACACAGGAGACCCTCATTTGTTGAAATGAAAAGCAACAACTTTAAAATGCTAATTACCACTAAGGAATAATGTACCTTGTAGGCAGAGAGCGGCTAACTCCACAGCTGTTTCATATGGGCATTTCAACCTTGGAAGGGAAAAAAAGAAAAGAAATTAACTGTAAATACGAACTTTAATATTCATAACTATACAAAATGTCAGTAACATCATTTCTCAGGAGGTAGTGATATTCAGATAATGATTTTTGTTCTCGGTGGTTTCTACTTTTGCTGTCTACATTAAAAACTGCAAACAAGCTGACTTACACTCCCTGTTTCCCAAAGTCAGCTCTCATCATATGGTGAAATAACCCCATCTAGGTATAGCTCCTCTCAACTCTAAGTAGAGTGGGCAATTTTACTGAATCTGGCAAGAACTGGGAAGTTTGGGAAACTGAATGAAAAGCCTTCCCTTTGCCTTATTATTTTTCAACTTATTTTATCTTGGTCTAGTACATGCATCTTTTGAAGCTGCCTTCACTCTTTCTTGAAACGAGGTCATAGTGTTACAAATAAACAGAAACCATATCTAAGATGGCCAGGACAGCTGGATACACTCAAGCAATCGAATAACTGAGGCACCGCCACAGAGGTGTATTACTACAAATCCAGTGATCTCATTCATATTTACTATTACAAATTTAGTTAGAAAAATAATAATGACACACATTGGCATAGCACTTCATAGTTTTCAAAGCCTTTTCATATATGTATATTATCCAATTTGGTCAATGCATCAAGTGTGTCAACCCCCTAGGATGGGGGTTGCCTGTACTCCCCATTCCCACCTCAGAAATGAGGAACTGAGTGTTCAAGTGTCCTGGCCACAGACGGCCAGCTGGTAGAGGCAACGCTGGGGCCGCCAGAACACCATTCTGCTAGGAATGCAGTAAACCAGGCTGACGTGCACGTAAACTGCAAAGTACTGTACAAATGCGAGGCATCGCCATTAATGTTTTTCCAGACCAAAGACAATCACCAGTTAAGAGGCTCTTAGTATGAGAAGCACAGTATGGAGAGAGAGAGAAATACACACACAATCAAAGATCTGTATTGCATGGCTGAATAAGGCAAATGTATACACTGTACAATCTACTTGTTCTATAGTGTACATTCCACTAGGATTCTCATAGCACATGTTCTACAGAGAGCTTCCAAATTTGGAAATCACATTTTGAATCTCCTTCAGATTATATTCAAAATCAAAATGTATTGCTGTCAGTTAATAGCAGGTATTGCTTTTTAGATTCAGTATATCTTAGTTTTTCATGTAACGGAAAATAGTCAATATGGCTGGTGAAACTATGACACAACTGTAAAAGTTATGACTGCTGAAATCTCATATCCTTAAAATACATACTGCCTGTGAAACCAACCATTTCAGTGCCAGTGGTTCTTGCGCTCAACAATCGTTGTATAGCCAGAGGCCTAGTGTTTAAAGACCGTTTTTAAGAGAGGAAAAGGAAATGAGATGAGATGTCTAAACCTCTTTCTACTAGAATCAGAACATAACCTCTTTACATGACTTAAATGCAGATGGTGATGAGTGAGACTTTTGGATGGTCCAAAAACTTGTCAGTGTATACATACTGATAACGTATCTTGCTTACAAATACGACAAAAGCCGTTATGAATGGGGCAGTGATGTGATCAGGGAGAGAATTATTCCCAGATACACATCACTTAAGATATTAAATGCTCTTGGAAATGCTTCAAGCCATATAGTAATCACGTGAAATAAGATGATGATGACTGTGATCCAAGTATTAGACTCACTTTACAATGCCTGGTGTACTTTTTTTGAATTTTGAAAAGGGAACAAGCGTAAAGAGTTAAAAAAAAACACACACGGTGAACTATTTAGAAAATATACTATGATCTATCCCGAGTTAAGAGTTAGAACAAAAACATACTTACTTTCCTGAAAGAATGTCATGCCTGAGTTGTAAAACAAACAGGTACCTGACAAACATATACAAAAGTCAAAAGAGGGTAACTCTTCCCCAGCCGCTTCCAGTCCCCAACTTCCCATCACAAATCCCACCCCACACACAGCCCGGAATTCTGCATTGTAAAAAGGGAGTCCAAATCAAATGAGAACTTGGGTGGAAGCATCTCCTCCTGTCTCCAGGAAGGCATCCCAGAATCTAGCTAGGAAGGTGAGCGCATGTAGGAATTCGCAAGATACTTGGAGGATGGAACATGGAGCACTGCACAGTCCAATGACACCTCCACACGCCCTTGGGGCTCCAGGAGAGAGAGACACACACACACACATGCACACGCACGCAGGGCTCACACGCAGCATGCAACGTGTCCAATCCAACAGGCAGGGTAGAGCCACTGCATTGGGCCCTCAGCCTGCCCACCAGCAGATTCCAGAAAGGCTGCAGCTGATTGTATCAAAAAATTTACAGCTGACTGTAGTTAGCAACCACTGGAGGCTTTTTTTCTGATGCAGTTTAACTGCAGACTCTGCCTTTGAAAAAACAAAGTACACGTGTGCGCGCGCGCGCACACACACACACACACACACACACACACACACACACGAAACAAAAGTCCTGGAATTGGATGGCAGCTGGTCACAGGGGTAACGGAAAATGGGGAGGAAGGCAGCAAATAACACAAGTGCAGTTCACTGAAGTAAAAGATTAAGTAAGTGTTCTTTTTACCAGGAAGACGTGGGCATCAGAACCACTTACAGGGCTTTGTAAAAACCAAAGCTGCCCACGCTCCACTCCATACCTACAGAATGAGAAGCTTACACACAAGAGTGGTCCCCAGGAATCTGATTTGTTCAAAAGCCTCCCAGGTGTTTCTGATTCACAAACCCTGGTTAAGAATCACTGGCTCTGATGACAGCTAGAAGCAGCACACTTCATAAAGGACTCTCAAGAGAAACACTAGGATAATGTAATTTGTTTGAACTTTGAAAACAATGCACACGGTCACTCTCTGTGGAATGGATATAGGACAATGTGGGTGACGCAGACATGTGGGTGGTGGTGAAGGTTCTAGTACATTCCAGAATGTTACTACTTCTGAGAAGTGCTCAACCACCATTAAACTGAGTACTCACATCAAGGAGGACACAACGCTGACGTGGCCAGAACTTCCAATTCCTACAGGAAAACCTAACCACAGAAACCCCCAGGCCGCTCCCATGGGGGACATGGCGATAAAGTCGGTCTTTAAAGTATTACTTAGGGGGTCACCTCCAAGCCAGCGGCCACCACCATGGATCACCCAGAAGCTTACATGTCACCACAACTGTCCATCACAGACAATGACAAGGAGATTCTGGGGACATCAAAAGCAGCAGAAGGCTGAGTAGAGAATCTCACTGATAGAAGGGTGGCTGGAGGGAAAGTCCACACGTAAAATGTTCTTTAAGCCTCTTTTGCTTTGACGCTATTTCTGAAGTCTAAGAGACAGGCAAGGGCAGGCGCACTATAAAATAAATTCGGTGGGGCGGAAAGATACCGTGACGGAATTCTAACAACTTTGATATTATAACCATCAAGGGAATATTTTGCAGTTGCTTAAAAAAATAAGGTGGCAATTTTGGAGGCAGAGATGCTCTTCTAATATCTGCCTTCTCTTTTTGTATCTGAGACAAAATTAAAGTGCCGTAGACCAACTAGCCAATCTACCCAAGGTCCAACAAAATAGGAAAGTGACAAGAAAATAAATTTTAAAATTCTGATTCACTATGAAAAAGGTCCAGTCAAGCAAAGTATGGATTTTCAACAGAATACAGAGATAAGCACACACAAAGTGCTAATAACAGTTGCTCGGAATATAAAGACAGCAGATGAAAGAGGCGGCAAACCCACAGTTTAGAAGACCCGTGGATTGTAAGTAAGGCAGGTGCTACGGGGTGTGGGTGGGTAGGAGGATCTTGTTTTGCATCTTGTCCTACCTTGTAAACTCTTCACGAAGGTTGTTCGGTTCTGAAGAATAATATTTAACTCGAAAGTGCAAAGCATAAGCAGGTCCAACTAAGCATTTGGAGATGGAAGGTTGAAGATGTTTTTCCCCAATTTTGAAGATCACAGAATGGACAAAAGGAAAAACATGTTAAATCTATTAACATATCCACCACGGACTCTGGGAGGTAACAACGGAACATACAAAGCTAGTAAGTTCTTTTCAATACTAGTTTGGAAAACTAAAATGGACTTCGGTTTTGACAAAAGATAGTTTAGTTAGTAATCTCATTCTGGAAAAAAAACCTCACCATCTAGATGAATTACTAAGAGCTAACCTTTTACTTTCACCCCTGATTGCCAAGATACTCCAAAGTGATACTAACTTTTAACAAAATACTAAGTGGGCTAAAGGAAAGTGACACATAAACAGTCAAGTGTTCTGTAATCTAAAAATACTACGGTAGGGCTTCCCTGGTGGCGCAGTGGTTGAGAGTCCGCGTGCCGATGCAGGGGACACGGGTTCGTGCCCCGGTCCGGGAAGATCCCACATGCCGCAGAGCGGCTGGGCCCGTGAGCCATGGCCGCTGAGCCTGCGTGTCGGGAGCCTGTGCTCCGCAACGGGAGAGGCCACAACAGTGAGAGGCCCGCGTACCACACAAAAAAAAAAACCTACGGTAAAAAAACCTTAAAAGTATTAAATTAAAAAAAATTACTCATACATAAACCACACTGAAGAAATCTGGTTACCACAACTATAAAATCAGAGAGCTGGACCAGACTGTCAAAGATCCTTCCTGCTCTCCCATTCTCTGAATCTACTTCATAACTCACGAGAAAATGAATGTCACAGGTATAAAGTCATGTTTCTGAACAGCATATTTATCAGTCCTCATTGGGAGAAGTGTCTGATTTCAAATGAGGGCTTCGTCTGTTTTTTAACATCTACTAAAAACTCTTATTCAAATTTTAAACTCTAATATTTAGCCAGCCTTAGGAAATTAAAATTCATCCTTAAAATTGAATCCATTTGAAAATGCTCCCAAGTTCTAATGAAAATGTAATACCTCAAAACATTGGCAAAGGAGTTTACTCTCTGATAAAAGAAGGTAGTAAACTAAATTCTGCTTACTTACTTTTCATCTGCTTTTTTATGGGTTTGGAATGATCCAGCCAGTGCTGAAAGAAAGAAAAAAAGTTTTTCTTAGGAATAGTTCATCAGTAAGATTACACAGTCCCTTGGAGTTACCCTGCCCTACAACTCTTAGTAATTAAAACCAGGGATTGTACCAGATCACGAGCTCTTAGGCTGGGGATCTGCAAACAGCTTGGAATGGTATAAAAATACCTGTGCTACATGAAAAGATGCTCAACATCACTAATTATGAGACAAATACAAATCAAAACCACAACAAGCTATCACCTCACATGGGTCAGAATGGGCATCAACAAAAAGTCTACAAATAATAAATGCTGGAGAGGATAAGGGAAAAGTGAACCCTCATACACTGCTGGTGGGAATGTAAATTGGAGCAGCCGCTATGGAGAACAATACGGAGGTCCCTTAAAAAATGAAAAATAGAACCATTTGATCCAGCAATTCTACTCCTGGGTATATATCCAAAAAAACTGAAAACATTAAGTCGAAAAGATACACACACCTCGATGTTCATAGCAGCACTATTTATAATAGCCAAGCCAAGTGCCCATCAGCAGATGACTGGTTTAAGAAGATATGTGTGTGTGCGTGTGTGTGTGTGTGTGTGTATAACAGACTATTATTCAGCCATAAAAAAGAATGAAATATTGCCATTTGCAGCAGCACGGATGGACCTAGAGATTATCATACTAAGTGAAGTAAGTCACAGAAAGACAAATATTACATGATATCACTTATATGTGGACTCTAAAAAATAATACAAATGAATCTATATACAAAATGGAAACAGACTCACAAAAATAGAAAACAAACTTATGGTTACCAAAGGGGGAAGGGGAGAGGGATAAATTAGGAGTTTGGGATTAAACTACAGATGCAAACTACTATACATAAACTAGAAAGCAACAAAGATTTACTGTATAGCACAGGGAACCATATTCAATATTTTGTAACAACCTATAATGGAAAATAATCTGAAAAAATATATATATATAACTGAATCACTTTGCTGTACACCTGAAACTAACACAACATTATAAATAAACTATACTTCAATGAAAAAAAAGAAAAATTATCTGTGCTTATGCACATTAAGAGCATTTCTCCTGGGGAGAGTTAGCTTTCCAAAGAGGTGCCTAAAATAACCTAACACCCTTTACCTCATTGATCTATAAAGTCCCTTCTAGTCAGCGGAGCCACCAACTGCCTTTTCCTTCTGAGTTTTCTCAAGTTACAACCAAGTCTCCGTTAATCTAGTAATGACTACAAGCCCCGCCGTCGAAAATCTCTGCTCATACACAGGTCTTGGCATTCTGTCGCCCTAAACTCTAAAATTTAAAACCAAAATTCATGACCCTTTAAATGAGCCGCACTGAAGATGGAAAGACAGGAGGGGATTTGCCTGAGAGAATTCTGCTCTGGTCCGTGAAGGCATTTCAACGTCCTCTAGCTTTCACCAGAAACACCACTTCAGTCTCATCCATCCAAGGAAACTGCAAAACCATTTCCCTCATATAAACGTTCCTCTATAACATCCAAGTTGTGGACACTACAGTCCTGAGGAGCCTCAAGAGCTTGACTTCCATGGAAAGCAACATTTAGGAACATGAAACTGCGAGCCCCTCCAGGTGAACACGAGCCTCGAAGGGCAGGGACCACACACTCAATCATCTCTGAGTTTCCTGTGCCAAACACAGAGCCTGGCGCCCAGCAGGCCCTTATCAGATGCTTGAGAAATAAATGTTCAACATAATTTTTTAAATGAGGCAAATAGAGACCTTCCCATCCCTTTATGTAAATCCCATGCACGTGGAACATCGCTGTTAGGATGTTGGAACAACACAGCCCGCAGCAGGTTTCTCACTAGCTGTTCAAAATCCGAGGCCATTCTGCTGACCGTCAAGATACTTTCAGAAGCAATCTAAACTCTGCACATTCTAATAATGAGAAAGGGTGGGACTAAGTGAGTACAGTGCACTCTACCACTCACCAAAGAGCCCACTCTGACTGTGTGGGAGGAGGGGGATAAGGAAACACAGAAGCAAATAAGAGACGAATTATAATACTGTAAGCTGGGAGCAGTGCAATGGGAGACCGTGGGCTCTGTCAACCCCACTCCCCAGCTAGGCAACCGTGTGATCAAAGCACCGGATCCCCATAGCCGGACGCCTATCTCAAAGGCTCGTGGACAGGATGCTTTATCTCACTGTTCATAGCTTTGAATGGAAAATGACCTAAATGTCCATCGACAAAGATGGATTAAAACAATGGCTCCTCCATATAATGAAATACTATTCAGCCTTTAAAACTATTTAGGCCTATATTTATTGACGTGGCAAGAGATCCACGGCACAATGTGAGATGGAAAAAAAAAGGCAGGTGGGATCCCTTTATAGAAAATTATTATTTCCTATCAACATGCCTAGAAGAATTTATAGAGGTTATTTCTGAATGTGGGACTGGGAATGACGTCTACTGTTTTTCTTTTTTAATTTTCTGCATAGTTTTTTTCCTTTGAACGGGAATATTATTTTCACGGTGCGGGGAGGTGGGCTGGGTTGCCAACTTCCATCATTCATTCATCACTTGCCTATCGGGCAGTTTCTGATGATCAATTTGTATCATTAGAATTCAGTCTCACTGCTGCCCTCAACGAAGCTGGAAATGCTGGACCTTAGCCCCTGGGAGGACAGATAAAGACTTGATACAGACATAATATTTACCTTCCTGCCAAAGTAAGTATCATGCTAATGGCTTGGCTAAACCTGTTCTTCGCCTCACTTTCAAATCAATTTATTCTTAGCAGGCAAGGAAAGTTCTCCCTGCAACCAGCCTTCTAATCTTATTAGCCCCAGAGGCTCAGAGATTAAAGGAGCTTGTCCCATCTCTTTCCCTTCCCAAGTCTCCTTATTGTATTTGGAATGGAACAAACTTCAGCCCACTGTTCCTCTCCCTCTACTGTCAAACTCTAATCTTGATCCAGGCCCAACCTGTGTCGTTTCCTCAGCTGTGGTTTTCAACCCTGGCTGTGTGTTTCAATCACAAATGCCCAGGTCCCACCCAAGATCATTAAACAGAATCTCAGATCGTTAGTGTTTTTTAAAGGCCCCAGGGTCCCATTAAATATTTAGTGTTGAAGTTTTCCTGCATCCTCTCCTACCCAAGAATATGTCCTAATAATAAGCCTGGGGATCTTGAAATATCCACGACCCCTTCTGAAAACTGCTGTCTGAAATCTCAAGCAATTTCAGGGTTTATTAGCCAGATGTCTACAACCCGTGTTAACTGGCAGGCAGATCATGGCTAGATGCTCCTCCTGGACAGCAGACGCCTTTCCCTCTGACCACACTGCTAAAGAAGCCCCCCTATCAGGGACTTCCCTGGCGGTCCAGTGGTTAAGACTTCACCTTTAAGACTTCACCTTCCAATGCAGGGGTGTGGGTTCGATCCCTGGTCGGGGAGATAAGATCCCACGTGCCTTGCGGCCAAAAAAACCCCAAAACATAAGCAATATTGTAACAAATTCAATGAAGACTTTAAAAATGGTCCGCATCAAAAAAAAAAAAAATCTAAAAACAAAGAAGCCCCCTTATCCATGAGTGCTGGCCTCCATCCTTCCCGCCTAGCCACCAGCCACAGAGCCCTGCACAGAGCAGGACCCCGCCAGGATTGAGGCCTGTGAAAAGTCTGGGGCTCACAAAGCCGGGAAAAGAATCAGAAACGGCTCCATTTAAAGAGCTCCTTGACCCTGTGGTGTTCAGATCAGGTTTGCTCATCTGCATCAGAGGTGCTAAGAAATCCAGTCACAAGCCTAAAATAAGAGATGATAAAATCTATCTTGTATCCAACCAGTTCAAAATGACCCGACTTTTCTTCTTAGCTGTAGGAGCTGACCAGACTCGGATCACTCATGCTTAATCCCATAAGACCACCCTGGGACTTGAAGACGCTGGGGGCACTCAGGCCCCATGTGGCATTTAATAAATTATATCCTATACTTGGCTTGAAGCCCCCCTATTCAGCAGCAGCAGGACCTGTCTTGGATGTTCACCTGCATTCGGCTAAGTACAGCCAGGCCGCCTGTCGGCAGAGGCCAAGGCAAATGGCTCCAGCCCTCTTAACAGACCATTAAACCAGTCACCGGAAACAGACAGGTGCCTTGCTGAGTTCAAAGGGCAAGACATTTAACTCAAACACTCTAACAGGTATTAGGTGGTTTCTGATCTGAATTTCTCATCCGAGTCCATCTGGCAAAACCCTTCCCATAAATCGAGATGTGAGATGATCCGGCAAAGCCCATCTGTTCTGATAGTACATCAGCTCTAGAATTAGAACATACATAAGGCTGGTTAGAGAAGTTAATTGTCTAAAATCTACACAGAAGCACTTGAATCACAATGGCCAGGAGAAGCTCAGGGGTTGAAGAGGGTCTAAAAACTCTGCCTGTACAACCCTGGGCCATCACGTTTGAGTGATGGAACTCATAAGTGGCTTTCTAGTACCTCTAGATTTTCTTGGCTTGTAAAAAGTGTCTTGTAAAAAGTTTGCATTTAAATTAGCGCTGGAAGGAATCTGAGAGATAATCATATCCAAAGGATGTAAAGAGAAAGAAGAGAATGAACACTTTTGGAGCTTATTGTGTGTGATGTTGTGACTCATAATAAGAAATGTATATATTCGGTCTTTGTCGGTTTCTGGCACAAAGCTCCTAAAACCCTTGTAATTTCCTAAGTGGTAACAGCAGTGAAAGTGTCTTAACATTCATAATGAAACCCTTTCAATGATACCTGAGTTTACGTGAATGAGGTGACTTTGGGAAAGCACCTAAGGATGGGGTTTGTTGCCAGGGAAACCAAACACATGATTGATTACAGGGTTAGAACTTTCAGTCGCCCGCCACCTCCCCAACCTCTGGGAAGGGGAGAGGGGCTGGAGGTTGGATCAATCACCAATGGCCGATGATTTAATCCATCATGTCTATGTAATGCAGCCTCCGTAAAACCCCAAAAGGACAAGGTTC